GCGGCCTCGCTAGATCTGGCAAGAGCCTTCGCCGCCCCGCTCGCAGCCGCGAAGGCCCTGGGCGAGGCCGCGAAGGCCGTCGCCAGATCTGGGCGGCCGCAAGTGAGGTGGCCTCACCAGATCTGGTGAGAGCCTTTGCCGCCTCACCCGCGACCGGCGAGGCTACGACGGCCTCGCCAAGGGCCTTCGCGGCCGCAAGGGAGGCGGCGAAGGCTCTCGCCAGATCTGGCGAGGCCGCCTTGCTCGTGGTCGCCCAGATCTGGCAACGACCTTTGCGGCCTCATCCAAGGCCTTCGTGGCTAAAGGTAAGGTGGCCATCGCCCAATTTGGGTAAGGCCTTCGCAGCCAGCGAGGGTTGCCAGTGACCCTAGTCGGCATTGAAAAAAAAAAGGAAAAGAAAAATAAAAAAATAAAAAGAATAATTGAAAAAAAAATAAAATAAAAAACATTTAAAAAATCCATGTCGGATGGAAAATTAATAAAAAAATCCACGTAGGATAGTTTGCCGAAAATGACACTCAAATGATCTACTTTCGCCGGAAGTGGCACTCAAGTGATCTTTTTTTGCCGAAAGTGGCACTTAAGTGAGCGAAAAAAAAAAAAAAAAAAACCACCGCCCGCAGCGGCTGCGTTGGCTTGCGCTCTAGTCCCCCCACGAAGGGATCAGAGTTCGAACCCCAGCGTAGTCGTTAGGGATTCTTAAGTGTGGCGCCGTGGTGGTGGGTCCTGCGCTAGCGTCACCCCAGGTTTACGGGAAAATTTCATTTTGGTACCCAAAGTTGGGCTTTTTTCTCAATTTGGTACCCAAAGTGGACAAAGTCCCAAATTGGTACCCAAAGTGTCCATTCAGTCTCAATTTGGTACCCAAAGTGCCCATTCAGTCTCAATTTGGTACCCAAAATGGACATAGTCCCAAATTGGTACCCAAAGTGCCCATTTAGTCTCAATTTGGTACCCAAAGTACCCATTCGGTCTCAATTTGTTTTTGAGTTCGCGGCCGGTCAAATGCTCACCGTAGGCAAGAAATTTCTTGTTAAGCTCTAGGAACAGTTTTTTACTTTTTTACTTTTTTTCCCTTTTCTTTTTTTTCTTTTCCTTTTCCTTTTCTTTTTTTTTTCCTTCTTCCCTCCCCCGGCCACAGCCATGGCCGGCGGAGGTCGCCGGCGTCGGCCCTTGCCGGTGTCGGGCGAGGGCGGCCACTTGCAGGTCGGCCTCGCCCGACGCAGCGACGGCGACCTCGCCTAGCCCGGGCGAGGGCCGCCTCGCCCGACGCCGGCGAGGTGACCCTTGCCGGATACGGCGAGGTCACCCTCTCCGGCGTCCGCGGCGGCGACGCCTTCGCTGCGTCGGGCAAGGGCCACCCTCGCTGGGTGGGCGAGGGCCGACCCTACCCGAGATCCGGCGAGGGCGAGGGTTGCCCTTCTGCCGGATCCGGCAAGGGTCACCCTCGCCGGCGTCGGGCGAGGGCGGCCTCGCACGGGTCGGCGAGGGTCGCCCTCTCGCTGCGTCGGCGAGGGCCGACCCAAGCGAGGGTGGCCCTCGCCCGACGCAGCGAGGCGACCCTCGCTAGCCCAGCGCGAGGCCGCCCTTGCCCGGACGCCGGCGACCTCGCCGGCCATGGTCGTGGCCAGCGGAGGAAGAAGGAAAAAAAAGAAAGGAAAAGGAAAAGAAAAAAAGAAAAAGGGAAAAAATAAAAAAGTAAAAAAAAATCTTTTCGTGTAGAGCGAACATAATTCTTCTTGGCCGATGAGCATTTGACCGGCCGGCGAACTCAGGTACCAAATTGAGACTGAATGGGCACTTTGGGTACCAAATTGAGAATAAATGGGCACTTTAGGTACCAATTTGGGACTATGTCCACTTTGGGTACCAAATTGAGACTGAATGGACACTTTGGGTACCAAATTGAGACTGAATGGGCACTTTGGGTATTAATTTGGGACTATGTCCACTTTGGGTACCAAATTGAGAAAAAGGCCCCACTTTGGGTACCAAAATGAAATTTTCCCCAGGTTTACCCCTCCGGCTGTCGGCCGTGCGGGAGGTTCCTGGGTTATCAAAAAAAAAAAAAAGTGAGCGAAAAAAAAGTTATGACACTCAAGTGAGCGCCGTACGAAAGTTATGACACTCCTAGTGTCCTTATCCCAACTATATATAGAATTAGAAATATGTTTTTCTTATTTCCTTCAAAAGAGGGTTGATGAATTTGCTTGTGAAAAGGAACTATAAAACAACATATACACTTAAAAGCCATAAAATAAAAATAAAATAGCATTTTAGTGGGAATGTTAACCCTTTGTTGTAATGATGAGGAACATTCTATATAATCAATCACCTTTGCGATAGGGGTAAGTGGTTCCAGGTTCCCTGCAGTTTCACCTGGAATCTGAAACCTACCTGTTGGAATAGATTCATAATTTTTTGAAACTTAAAACCTATCTTGTATATCTTGGAACCTAAAACTTATCCAGTCACAAGTTCCAGGATTGATTCCATATACTACCTAACTTCTATTTGTATTATTAATTGAACAATTGCCCACATCTTCCGTGGTCTCCAATTTGATCTCCAAGACATTGTTCCTACATTACTTGGCCGTTCTGAACCAATCTCGTTTACGGATCTTCAAGGTATTCTCCTTAGTCACGAGAGTATTAAGGCTTTCCAAAAGTTGCAGATCTCTGAGCCTTCCTCTCTGGCTAACTTTGCTACAGCCAACTCTGCTCAACGAAATGCCATCACCCATCCTGGTTTCTCTTTCTCTAGCCGTGGTCAATCCAGAGGTCGTAGGGGTCGTGGTGGTCGCTTTGCCGTGGTCGTGGTGCCCGTGGTGCTCAACAAGGTCAGTTATGGCGTTCCATCTGTCAACGTACAAATCACACTGCTGCTACATGCTACTATCGCCCTCCAGGTATGCCTTATTACCCGCCCTCTACACATACCCCTTCGAATACTTCATCTTATCGACCCTCTTACTCTCCCAATGCCAACCTGAGCCATGTCCTACCCCCTCTTTTACCTACACCTACCAACACTGTACCTTGGTACCCTGACATTGGTGCCTCCCATCATGTCACACCTGACATACAATCCCTCTCTTCCTACGAAGCCTATAATGGATCGGATCAACTACACGTGGGCAATGGTAAGGGTCTTAAAATCACTAATATTGGTACTTCTTCTATTCCCTCTTCTATTTCAAATCTTTCTTTACGTTTAAATAATGTTCTTCATGTCCCTGATATTTCTAAACGTTTACTTTCGGTTCAAAAATTTGCGTCTGACAATAATGTCTTCTTTGAATTCTATCCTACCCACTTTCTTGTTAAGGATCTAGTGACCAAGGCGGTTCTTCTCTCCGGCCCGAGTAGTGGTGGTCTTTACACCATACCACAACAATATTCAATGCCTACTGCCAGTATTGCGGAACGGACTTCCATGGATGGCTGGCATCAACGTCTTGGCCATCCCCATGAGCGTCTCTTACGGTTTATGATCAAACAGAATAATTTGTCGTGTCAGTCAACACGGTTGAGTCAGTTATGTACAGCTTGTCAATTGGGCAAGGCTAGTCGTCAGTCCTTAAGATTGTCTCAAACTCGTAGTTTATTTCCGCTGGATTTAATTTATAGTGATGTTTGGGGTCCTTCTCATTTTGTTTCAACTGATGGTCATCGCTATTTCGTTATTTTTGTTGATGATTGCACCAAATTTATTTGGCTTTATCCTCTTAAAGTAAAGTCAGATGTTTACTCTATTTTTCATACATTCCAAGCTCTTGTTGAACGTCAATTTTCACGAAAAATAAAAGCCGTTCAAACGGACTGGGGTGGGGAATTTCGTGCCCTCCCCTCCTTTTTCTCAAAAATTGGTATTGCTCATCGCATCTCCGCCCCTCATACTCATGAACAGCAAGGGGCAGTTGAGCGTCGTCATAGGCATATAGTTGAAACCGGTTTAACATTATTAGCTCATGGCTCCGTCCCTCACCAATACTGGCACTACGCATTTGAAACGGCAGTCTACCTCATCAATCGGATGCCGTCCAAGGTCACTAATCGCATCTCCCCCTTTCAAATGGTTTACAATCACCCTCCGAATTATTCCTTCTTAAAAATCTTTGGGTGTCGTTGTTTCCCTTATCTACGTCCGTATAATGCCCATAAGATGGATTTCCGCTCCATTCCTTGTATTTTCTTGGGATACAGTTCCTCTTACACAGGGTATTGCTATCTTGACCCTGTCACTAATCATTTATACATTGCTCGACATGTTCGTTTTGATGAAACTTGTTTTCCCTTTGTAACTCCTTCCATTCTTGGTCCATCACCTAATTCATCACTTCCTACACCTGTCCTGGTACCGTGGGCTTCAGCCCCTATTGGCGTTCCTCTGCCTACCAATATAGTGAGAACACAGACTCCTCCACTGACTCCCACAATGTCGTCTAATACCGATTCATTCATCTCCCCTATCTTAAGAACCAGACCCCTCCATGACATTTATCACTCTCCTTCCTCATCATCCTCTCCACCACCGTCACCGCCGCCCCCACCTAGGCCAACACGCACCTACACCATGCAACTTCGCTCTCGTCCTCCTCAAATTAATACCGCCACCACCCCTCTCACCAAGCCAACCTCATTCACCCAAGCCAACCTCATTCACCCAAGCCAACAAAATCCCTGAGTGGCGTGCAGCTATGACCGATGAATTTAATGCCTTGTTAAAAAATGGTACGTGGTCTTTGGTCCCTCGCACTTCCTCCATGAACCTCGTTGGGTGTAAGTGGGTTTACAGAGTTAAGCGCAAAGCGGATGGTAGTCTTGAGCGTTATAAAGCTCGCCTGGTCGCTAAGGGTTTTCATCAACAACATGGCTTGGATTATACAGAAACCTTCAGTCCAGTTGTGAAAATTACCATTGTTCGCTCTATATTATCTCTAGCTGTCTCTCAAGGGTGGCAAGTGTGACAATTGGATGTGCACAACGCTTTCTTACATGGGATTCTTTCTGAAGAGGTGTACATGGAACAACCCCCTGGGTTTCAAGACCCAACTCGTCGTGATTATGTTTGCAAGTTGCATCGTTCTCTATATGGTCTCAAGCAGGCTCCGAGAGCCTGATTTCAACGACTCTCACAGTTTTTGCTTCATTTGGGATTCTCAGCATCACAAACAGATCCCTCATTATTTATCTATCGAAGAGGCCCTGATGTCATTTATTTTTTGATCTATGTTGATGATATTCTGGTTACAGGAAATGCATCTTCTACTATCAGTGCAATCTTAGAGACATTATCTGCAGAGTTTTCTATTAAGGATCTCGGCCTGCTCCACTTCTTCCTTGGGATAGAGGCTGTCCCTCACTCTAACGGGTTGCTTCTCTATCAAGGACGTTATATTGATGATCTTCTTCATAGGGCTGGGATGTCTGAGTGCAAGCCTGTCCAAACTCCTATGGCCACGACTACAAAACCATCTGAGAAAGGGGGTGGTCTGATGTCTAATCCTACTTTGTATCGGTCTATAGTTGGTGCCTTGCAATATGTGACATTGACAAGACCAAATCTCTCCTTCGCCGTTAATAAAATTTGTCAATTCATGCATGCACCTACTGAAGACCACTGGCAAATGGTGAAACGCATATTGCACTATCTCAAACATACAAGGTCATTTGGTTTGCTTCTTTCCCGATCCAATGATAATCGCTTGCAAGCTTTTTCTGATCCGGATTGGGCTGGTAGCTCTGACGACAGGAAGTCAACTGGAGGGTATGCTATTTTTCTTGGTCCTAATTTGATCTCTTGGAGCTCCAGAAAACAACGAACCGTAGCGCGCTCTTCCACAGAGTCTGAGTATAAAGCTCTTGCCGATGCTGCAGCTTAATTCATTTGGCTTGAGTCACTCTTTCAAGAGCTTGGGTTCCCTTTTCAAGGTCCCCCATCCTTTGGTGCGATAATATTGGTGCCACTTATCTGTCTGCAAATCCAGTTTTCCATGCTCGTACCAAACATGTTGAAATTGACTTCCACTTTGTTCGTGATCGCGTTGCCAAACGACAACTCAGTGTGCAGTTTATCTCAACAGCTGACCAACTAGCTGATACTCTCACCAAAGCTCTTCCCAAAGCACGTTTTGCATTTTTACGAGACAAGTTGAAGATTCGCAGTCTCGATTCTTCAACTTGAGGGGGTGTATCAACCAAATATATATCTACCAAATATAGGGTAATCAATTTTAGAAGATTTGGAATCTTATCTTTAGAAATTAGAAAGTTTTTGTATTTTATTTATTTCTTTCTTGCTAGTAAATCTTCTAGAATGTACTCTTGGGTATTTATATACCCCAACTAAGCTTAATGGAAATATACAACGATTTCTGTTTCAACACAGATAGGCACAAATCTCTGCGCTGTGTGTCTGTTCCGTCTTTATTCTGAGTCTTTCCTTTCTCATCTTGGACCTTTCTCTTCAGCATCTTATGATTCCCAAACCATTGGCATTCTTCTTTCTCTCTCACTGTTTTCTTTATTCGGACAAAGTAGGTGCTCTGTTTTGTGTGCTGTTGCTAGGTCATTCGGGACTGTTTGTGAACACTCCTCCTGCCCGAGTCCTAAGTCCTGGATATCAGCTGTCTGCGACTCTCCTGTTTTTTCGTTTGATATATTAGTGAGACACTAGAGATCAGGTTCAAGCTCAACTCTTAATCATCTAATCCTAGCACCAAACTTCGATTCACATGCAGTGGGTGCAACCGTCTGAAAAGTTCAGACAACTCACGTGTTGTGGAATCCATATATTTAACACAGGATTCGCAGTTTAGATGGGTTTTGGTACATAAACCTTAATCCTATGACGCACTTTAGTCAATTTTTACCTTTTCTTTTTCTTTTTGCGGGCACAATGAATCAAATCTCGCTGATTCGACGGCAAACCTGTCGGGAGCTTTGCGAATACTCGTGCTTTGTGTGGAAGACTAAGCGAATGGGAATGCTTATGGTTCGGGCGAACGACCTTCCAAACATTATCAGTCATGATTTTGATTTTCTTATTTCTTTGTTTCAATAAATCTAAAGAGTCTCCACCAACCTATTTACTACGGCTAGTTAGAAGCTAAATTAGACGCAATTCGTAACATTTCAATACAAAATGGTGCCAAAGTTAAGTAGTGTTGGGATTTTTGCGTCCAAATCCCATAGAATTGAATGAAAAGTGTGTAGATGAAAGTGTCCCACATTGAATAGAAGAGAAATGGGAGATGGGTTCAAATAGTTGAGCCTCACAAATAGGTTTGGGCCCCAAGGGGTACCCCACTTTTGTGGAAGGGAGAGGACCACCTACGCCAAGCTAGGTCGGTCCCCCCCCCCCGCACGCGCGCCGCCGTTCGGGTCGGTTCATTCGCAGTCTCTATCGGTTTTTATTTTTATTTTCCGAACAGACACGTTGTTTAGAAATTATTGATTTATTTATTTTGGACAAACAAACATGTCTGTTCGTGAGGTTCGGTTCGCCCGAACGAAAACCGAAGCCCTTCGTGACTATTCACGAACCAAACCGGTTCAAGTGAACCTTCTTCGCTACTGTTCACGAAGAAGCTCGTAACTCTTCATTTTCGCCACTTTAATATGACCGAACAGTTGAGTTCGGGAAAGTGACACTTCGTAGCATTCATATTCCCGCGAGACATTTTCTCGACGCACTCTAGACATTTTTCACTTTATCATTTCGTGTGATTATTCTGCGAAATTGCGTTCGAAGGGGTCCTCCGAATACGTACCGCTTCGGAGGAACGAGATCCGTTCTATCCTGGGAGACGATTGTCCAATATTCTCGGGTACTGATTGAGGGGCCAAATTCGTCTTAAGGACACGACGTTACTTCGTTGGGCTCGGATCAACATTCTGTTTATTTATTTGTACTGCTTTCAGGTTAGTTTTCCTAACGTTTGATTTCAATTTCTGATATACGAACTTAGCCGACAACAAGAAGTAATAGGCAACGTTTCAAAGTTTCGTTGCTTTTATAAATGAAATTGATTGGACAACAAAGGAAACTAAAAACAACAATGCCAACAAACAATAGAGAACATGAAAACCTAGAATCACTCAATCTGAGACTTGATAATGACCCTCAACAGACTTGTCTGCCTCCTTTCACATGAGACGTCAAGTGCTCCACAAATTCATTGATGCACCGGTCAGAGCTCCCACCTTCACCGATCGCTTCCTTAGCCAATTCCCTCCATTTCCTTACATTCCTCTTGATCTCATTGCTTCGCTCTCCTCTCATCACCTCATTCAGACTCTTAATAACCTCCTCCCTCCTCACAACTCCCTCCTCATCCTCCTTGGCCCTCACTCCTACTTCCCAAATCTCCTCCACGTACTTAGCGTTGGTAAATTGATCGGCCCACCGGGGGATCCCGATCATCGGGATCCCTATGCTGAGCCCTTCGAGAGTCGAGTTCCACCCACAGTGCGTCATGAAACACCCCGTGGCTTGGTTGGCCAGGACTTCCAATTGGTTGCACCACGTGGCGATCATGACCTTTTCTTGAACTAATTCCCCGAACCCTTGCGGCAATTTATCGAGCTCGGAAGGCCTCACCACCCATAGGCAAGGGAAGCCGCTTTCCTTTAGTCCCCATGCAATCTCCTCTGTTTGCTCCGCGGTCAATGAAACCATGCTTCCAAAGGAGACGTATACAATCGATTTAGGCAGCTTTGTCTCGAGCCAATTGGCGCACTCAAAGTTTAACGGCTTCCATAAGCTCGCGCCATACGCATCGTCTTTGTCTATGCGACAGTCCAAGTATGTAGACGGAACCATTGGACCGATCAACTTTGCTGGCCAAAGGTCTGATATGCTCTTTGCTTCCTAGCATTATATGCATCATGAAGAACTTAATTAGAAAGATATTTATCTGGGATGCAAAATTGATCGCCAAGATTCTTAGCTTTCCTATGTAGTGGTGTGGCCTAGAGACGTCATCTCAGCCAACATCTTTGTCGGAAAAATTACGTCTGTTGATAGAAAATCTGAGGGTTTTAAGGAAGTGAAAAATAAGACATACTTCATTTGGTGTTGTGTCCTCTGCACTTCATAACTGGAATGGATTTTTCAATTCAGTGGATTAGATGATGGTTCATCTTAAAAGAGGGTTTAACCGTTGAAAGTCGCACTAGTGACCTTACAACTTGATCGACCACCATGAGGAAGACGAAACTCAAATCCATGCACAAGAGAATTAAAAGGACAATAGCAATGTTTATCGTGTGAATTTCCCGTACCTCATATTCCAGTGCCTCGAAGCTGTTTCCAAATGTCCAATCAGCCTTGTCTGTGTTAGTGAATTGTCTCAGCTTCATGGCTAAGTAAGCAGGGTAGCTTCCTGGCGACTGAAGAAAACTCGGGAGGTCCCACGAGTTGAGCGGAGGCAAGCCGGGAACCAAAAGTGCCTCGTCGTGTAACTCGAGCGGCAATTTGAGCAATCCGCTATGCAAGCGGTAGAATATGTTCGAAATCGTGATAGAGTTGGTGAAGAATGCCGCGCCGAATATATCATGTTGCTTAGCCACATTGAGAGCCCACGGGAAGAAGGAGTCGTAGACCACGCAAGTGACAGGGGTGTCCGTGCTCGAGTACTTCTCTATAAGTTCAGACAACGTTCTTGAGCCACGCTCTTCGAACGACTTGAGGAAAGCGGCTTCGTTCCCGGCCTGACTGAACCCTTCCTCATCGAACCCGTCGGAGATGGGCTCGACCCCGACGTTTGGAGCATGGACGAACTTGACCGTGTAGCGGGTTGTGGCTAGCGTGGCCTTGAGTCCTTTGGAAGCCAAACGCTTTGCAAATTGGAGGAGAGGGTTGATGTGGCCTTGGCTGGGATATGGAAGGACCACAACATGGGCTCTATATTGCTCACCCTCCATTTTCATCGATAAACCGTGTTTCTGATATAAGAGGGTCGTAATTTATAGACCAGCCATCCAGAGAAACCGTGTTCCACCTATTCCTTACAGGTGGAATATGTACGGAACACGGAACTAATCACCCATAGTATCGATTTACGCAATGATTTCTCATTTTAATTGTATATTTGAACCGTAATGCCAGAAAAACTAGTCTTTTGTATTCTCTTTGGTGAATGACAAGCTTGTCTGGTATTGTTGCGTTCATTTTCATTTTGTTTAACTAAAAATGAAATAAAAAAAAAGAACCTGTTAGACCCTGGAACCTGTGACAAGGTAGGTTTCAAGTTTCAAGTTCCGACGGGTAGGTTTCAGGTAGCAAAAAATAAGGAACTTGTACCCGAGGGTAGGTTCCAGGTAGAACCTGAAAGGAACCTGGAACCGCTCACCCCTAATCGTTAGTCGCCGGAAAAGTGAATTTATTGAGCATCAATGAAGGCGCATTAAATGATTGTTTAGAACAAAGAATTTTATTTGTGATTTCTAGGAAACACATCATAACTATTCGTTAGGGATTTGTATGTGTTGTTCGGGTCGATCGGAAGGTGCGGAAATAGCTAGGACCGAATGTGGAAAGTATGGAAAAGCATCTCGTGATTTTGTATTTTCAACAATGTTCTCGTATCGTGATATGGTTTCGCGAGTCTTTTTTCGCACATAGTATAGATAAAATGATACACTCATTGATCATTTCTATTTGCTCATTACAAACTTTTTATATCATTTTCTTTATCGCAATAATTATGGTTAAATATATAGAGGATGACTCACAGAAACTAATAAATTAAAATAATAAAGAAAACAAATATGATTATATATTTTTAGCAGGAATTCATTCTTTTATTTATATTATATCTGATGTGATTGAGATAATCTTGTTCAACTCGCCTACACAAATAAGTTTTAGCACCACACGTGATTTTCATTAGGGGTGAGCATGGTTCCAGAGTAGAACTTAGAATTTAAGAACCCCGGAACAGGACTGGTAGGAACCTGCTTAGTTCCAGGTTCCAAGGTATGCAAGGTAGGTTTTAGGTTCCAAAAATTGGAGAACTTGTTTTGATGGGTAAGTTATAGGTAAGTGGAACCTTGAAATTATGTTTTTCTTGTTTTATGTCTTCGCGTGATCTTACGGTATTCATGACATTTGATGATGAGTGTATAATCCGAAACTACTAGTTTGAACTTCCATTTTATAACTGACTTTTACTTTGTTAATGTTTCATATTTTCGTATGTCTAAATATAAGTTGTTGTCAATGGATTGTAGCAGCAATTTGTTGTCATAAAAGGTGATGATTTGCTACAATCGTTCAATTAATAATACAGGTGAAATTTGGGTAAACCCTGGAACATGTGACATGGTAGGTTTAGGTTCCAAGGAATGTAGGATAGGTTTCGGGTTCCAAAAAATTTAAAACTTGTTCCAACAATTAGGTTCTAGGTTCCGGATGGAATCTGTAGGGAATTTGAAATCGCTCACCTATAATTTTCATTTTACTTCCCTAAGCAATATAGATATACAAATAAAAAAATACGCGAGATTTTAAACACATCAAAGGATATTAAATTCCGAGTGAGGATAAAGGAAATGCTGACTAAATGAAAGGTATGACTTACAAGCTGATAGGATATAGGTGAAATCATGTTCTTAAATTGACAGAGCTTACTTATGTATTGGAAATCGAAATTGACACAATAGAAAGATTAAAATAAAAACATAGAGTGATGAGAAATGAAAACAAAATGCTAAAGTAAGACACATTATATAATTGTAGAAGAAGCTATTGAAAGGGAATAAAAGCAACAGAAACGAGGAGTAGATAAAGAATCAAAGCACTCTTGCATTGATTCCCTCTCACTTTTCTACTTCTCCTAGCTCTAAAAATCTTTCCTTTTATTCTTTTATTTTTTTGTAGATAAGGCGCTAATAGAGAGAGTCACGCTATAAATTTGATTTGAAGAAAACAATGTCATAAATTAGAGCACTATGCGAAAATATATGTCGAACAATATCCTTAAAGCTTTCACATTTTCACGAACTTGACATGGACAAGACGCCAACATGATGTTCAAATTTGCAATGCTAGACGACATATGCTTTTGATTATGTGAATACTTTCAAGTTACACAGCGAGCTCGCAATAAACACTTACTTCATGATCATTGCATTCCTATGATGTTACTCTACATCGTACCAAGGAACATAGGTCCGTGCTACTGAAGGTGGCCCGCGAGAATGCGTGCATACAATAAGTAATTTGGAGAATTGTGCAAATTTTAGTAATTTGTGTCCGAGACTTTACTGATATCATGATAATTTGATGGCCAAATACCAAAAAAAAAACCCCAAATTATGCCTATTGCGACAAAAATATAGCAAACTTTTTTTTGTGTCATAAAAAATCCCGAACTTGTCTACTATGACACAAATACCCTAAACCTTTTTTATGTAACGAAAAAATCCAAATTTATGCATGTGTGACATATATACCTTCTATTTTAGGGCGTGCAATCGTACTAGGTTTACCCGGGAACCGAACCGGACCACTCGAAAAATAGGTTCGGGAACCGGTGCCCATTTGAATTGGTCTGGGAACCAGTTCCATTTTTTGGGAATTGGTTGGAACTGGTCCTGTTCCCGATTTCAAGTGAAAACCCACCTAGTCCGGTTTTTGGAACCGATTTTTAGGTTGTGTTAAAAAAAAGCCGTAAATCATATATTACTATATTTTGGATTATAGATTTTGGTGGATAGTAATTTTTATTGCTCATTTTAGGGAGATTGTTACTTTTAGTGGATAGTGATTTTTTATTATTCATCTTTATTGTGAATTGTTTCGTTGCTACTCATATTAATTTGCTGGAAAAAATGAAACCAAAAAAAAGAACAAATGAAAAATAGGTTCTCAGGTAAACCCTGAAACCGGATCGAAAAAACAAGGTAGGTTCCAAAATAGGTTTCGGGACAAAAAGGGTCGGTTACTGGTTTCAAAAACTAGGAACTAGTTATAACATGATAGGTTTCAGGTTCTAGGTCTAGAACCTACCCACCCTGGAACTGATCACCCCTAATTTATTTCGATTTCATACAGGGTATATCTGTCTCACTAGTATAAATTCGAGATGTTTTACGATATTTGGGGTATTTGTGTCATAATTGGCAAGTTTAGGGTTTTTAGTAACACAAAAATAAGTTTAGGATATTTGTGTCGCAGTGGGCATAGTTTACATTTTTTGTCGTATTAACCCTAATTTAATTGAAGGGAAATCCAACCCAAACCGAACCGTCGGCATCCCTTGTTTAGACAACACAGTGCAGAGCGCCCCACCGAATATCTCAGGTCGCTTACCCACATTGTGTACACACACAAAGAAGCTCTCTCGGAGAAGATGTAATTGGCATAATTTGTGGTTTGGAAACCACGCACCAATCAATGAAGAAAGGAGAGTCAAGGATCAAATCAATGACCCAAGACGGCAACACAAGCATCTTTCCACTGATTTGGATGTCTTCTGGCTGTCCCGCCATGGCGTGAATCACATGAAACTGCAATTGCTCATTGAACCTGAACCACTACTAACCTGAAAAGACCTTGCGCGACAACTGTCGTCTCTCAAATCGTACCCTTGTTGGACCCATCATATTGCGCCGATGATGATACGGCTTAGATCTACGCCTCACAAAATACTGGAAAATGTTTAAAGTGACAACGCCAGCTTCAAAGTGAACAAAAGTGGTGGGCGCCGCAGAAAAGAAAAACGAAGAATGATGAAGGAACAACGAGAAGCTATAGAAGAAAGAAGAAAAGGAAAGCAAAGTTCAGACTTGTATCTTGACTTAAAGAAGAGGTTACGGCGACCTTCCTTTCACATTTGAAGTCGGCAATTGAAGACGGTGAAACTTTAGCCTGTAAATAGAGCAAAGGATGAAGCACTTGAAGATAGGCCGAAGAGGGTCTCCTGAAGTTCTGTGTGAGCTTCAGAATGAATTGAGAGAGAGAGAGAGAGAGAGAGAGAGAGAGAGAGAGAGAGAGAGAGAGAGAGAGAGAGAGAGAGAGAGCTGTGTGTGAGCAGAATAGAAAGCGAGTTGTTCCTCCGCGAGCGAGAGGGATGATAGAGAAAGTTGTAGGAGTCCGCGCACTCCGAGTATTTTGGGTGGTGGTGTGAGAAGAATATTGTAATAGAAAGTGAGATTTTTTGGGGGAAAAATTATCGAAAATACAATCAAGTCCTAAATATTTTCCTGCTTTGCGAATCGAGTCCATCCGATCAATTTTGATGTAAACGCTGACCATCCTACATAGCATGGTCGGTACTGATATAGATAATTTTTTTTAATTCTTTAATATTTTTTCGAATTATTTATTTATTTATTTTTCCTTTTTGTTTTATTTCCTTCTCTTTTCCTTCTTTTGTTTTTTTTAGTGTGGCCGGCAAGGGTCACCGGCTTTCAGACCCTATCCACTATTTATGCCGAAATGTTGGACAGTTCCAACAATTTTCTTGGAACTTTGGCGCATGACCTCAATTCATATATTTTGCATCGACTTATATTAGGTGGGCACCTTGTTCCAAAGAAAAAGATTAAATTTATGTAGGAATATATACTTTCCGTGAATAACTAAACTCCTCTCTCATAAAACCATTTTGATTCGTTTTTTAACACAATTTATATTTTCGTGATTATAGATTAAGTACATTGTTCCTCTTGAAGAATGGAAATGGAGGCGCCCCAACTGCAAGCTAAAGAAGCAACTTTTGAGTAGATAAAGCAAATGTATTTATGGCAGTCAAAATGGCACAAATTCTTATTGTAGCCCAAATTTATTAAAGTGGATCATATATGGATCATCTTAAATTTAAATTATTAATCATGATGCCCAAAAAAAATGAGTTTTAGTGGGACCCATTTTCAACTTGCTTAATCAAAATAGTAAAGTTAAGAAAACATGTCTCGGTACCTCTTCAATTTTCGCTTCTCTCATC